TGAAAACCGGTTCCAAATTGGTTAGAGCTGGTTTTGGACCGGTCCTAGCTGGGGCAGCCTCGGATCACCAGTGTTTATGAAGATCGTGATGGATGGGTTCCAGTTCTATATGCTTAGTTATACTGTCCGTTCTAGGGTGCTATGCTTCGATGAATTCCCGTATTGACTTGGTGGTTCCCCTTCCGAATATTCTTGCATTATCCAATACAAAGACGTTATTCTCAGCATCCATGTGGATTGAGATTTGTGACTTCTCCTCGTGTCTTGAGCTTTCTACTGGTTTATTCCACGAAGTATTTGTCGCAGTCTCCGGACTTTAATTTGTATACGATGTTTGAGGAATCCTCCTTTGGCAGTTGATCCTTTGGCCTTGATAGGAAAGCCCTCACTTTCGCGGTTGTCTTGTGTGCAACCAAAATTCCTGATGATTGTAATAATATGGCTACGATTTCCGAGATTCCCTGGATTGTTGGTCGTTTAATCATCTGTCGTTCTTCTGGCTGTGAATTTGACACTTCTCCCGGGCCCTCAATTTCGTCCTCTCCTTGAGCTTCGTACGTAAGCAGCGTAGCACGAAATTCCATGGGTTTCCGTGAGTGAATTCGTAAGTGTTTGGTTCGTAAGCGAGCAGTGGGAACACAAGTCACGTAAACTGATTGTCCATTTTCACAGTACCCTTTATTTCTGTCACGTAAGCCTATTGTGCAATATTCGTCTTACCTCCGTTCTACTGTCATTAGTTTTAAGAAATCTCGCATCCATCGCATATCAAGTTCAGGTTTATCCACAGTCACGATTCCAAGCTTTAACATCCCCCCCTTGAATATCATTGTCTTCTCTTCCTGGTTTGACCCGAATTGTATGGTACATTTAAAAAATTGAATACCTTTGTCCGAAAATAGAACAGTTTACTCGAGTCATCAACTGTGAGCATTTCCAAACCAAACAACAACAACAAAACTGCCCTTTCAGTTCGCAACCACATATTACAAGATCATAATCAAATAATCAAATTCATCACATCACACCATTAAACTAGTTTGAAACTTTTGAACCCTGTGTATAACTGTATTCGCCCGAGGACGAAGTTAACAAAAACAAGCTTTGTTCGCTACAGTGTTTTCTTAACGTCACGATGGAAATATTCAATGACTTACCCTTTATCCATTTGATCCATAAAGAAAGAAGACAAACTTCTTTAGATATTAACGTTCCCTTTAATCTCCTCACTCGCAGACGTAAAACAAACAGGCGAGTATATATACCACATCGGGTTGATCAATTATAGTGAACGAATAATGATAACTACCAACGTGGTTGGTGAAATCGATGACGCAACCGATAGCTGATTGTTAAGTGATCACAATAAATCCAGGGTGATCTACTACAAAACATCTTACGACAACAAGGCACACAGTTGTCCCTAATTTGTCTTCAAACGACCAATAGGCAGTCACAATGATACATTTTAGCAGTTAGTGAAGCGTTGCTTATTCGAGTACATTAACCAACTTTATGCGCACAAAATTTTACGCTAAATTCAATCCATTTACCGAGGAGTAGACTTCACTTCCATATGCAGTTTTCTCTATTTGATTGTACACGGTCGTTCACCATAACTGATCAAACCGATGATTTCTAGGAAAACCTGTTTGTTTCCCATCAGTGATTGAGAAGATTAAACGAAGTGTTAACACCTCGTGGTACTTGCCTTCTATCTGTATTGATGCATGACTAATCGCCATTTTAACACCCATCTAACAACTGAATCGGAGCGTGTTCCTCTGAATCCGAATAACCTCAGTCTCAAAAAGTCAGAAGCTCTCTACAGTTTTTGGAAATTTCTGATTCCAACTACCGGATTCGGTCTTCTTAGCACCTTTAAAATGAGATCGGTAACTGACAGGCCTGTTTTCGTTATTAGACTTCCGCACTGTCACGCGGTCGTTGTACAAAGAGCTGCGAGAAAACTGTTCTCAGTGAGTTCATGTGAGAATCAATGAAATGTTTCAGCGCAACATTCGTGTGATAGACGCTACTAACCGCAGCAAATTCGTCTGATAATGCACAACTGAATGGATACGCATACCTGGTGAGCGGCGATTTTAAGGATACCGGTTTTCAGGGAGAGTTTTTTCGGTAATTCACATTCTGCTTTTTACCAAGAACACTCAAGCTGGTTTTTATTACACAGTTCCTATGCTGCTGATTCCTATTCTATAATTTTTTTAAATGAGCAGTAAAACGAAAGCCTTCCGAGCTAATTTTCATAAGTTCGTTTAACTCCAGTATAACGAGTTCATTTCCACACACTATTGGCGGCTTTGCATCATATTTCAGTCTTGATAGGGCGAGAGATGTTTAGATGTGCTCTTCGAAATCGAGGGGTTTCCGGTTAAGCAAATAGTTAATCAAAAACAAAAGGTGTATTTATGTGATGGTTCGACAGTAATTTATCACCAATACATTCTGGATTAAAATGTAATGCTAAATTTGATACCATATGTGCAAAGTGCAATAAAGTTAAAGTCACCATGGTATTTATGTCACAAAATGTTATTGCAACAACCAAGGGAATATTACGTAGTATAGTACGTAGGTATGAGGTGCATTACTCATAAAATTATCAGCAATCATTCCATTGAAAACGATCTCTATGCAATCATCCAATATCCGAAAATTCCCATGAAGCCTATTGAAATGACAATAAAAACTCAAAAACCTCCCCTACCGACATTGCGAAATACCCAACTGCAGCTCGACTGAAAGAGCGCAGTTCAATTTGATAACTGGTTTTGGAGAATCACTCTTTTTCTGAGTATATACCGATATCCCGGTATCGAAGCCATGACAATTAGTAAGGATCACAATACTTTGATTTTGGTGATACTCATAGTGGAATTTGTTTCAGTAGGAATAATTAATATCGATCAAGGTGAATCGATCTCATATATGTGGCTCTATTACCAACCCTGATTCTTCCACCTATCAGATGAAGGAACGGATAGGCGTCACATAATAAAATGCAACTGGAAATGTAATCAGTTACAGTTTAGCATCATGTATTGTTGTTCATCATCACAACTAAAGGTGGTGTTGCATTCAGGATAATGAACATCCTAATCTATGTAAGAGAATAAATAATTTCAAGGAGTCCATCATAGGTAGTAAATCAAATCTCAATTCTAAAACAATATGTATACAACAAAGCGACTGATCTCTTGGATTTAAGTTGTTCTGGTGGACTTTTGTACGAGGAAAAACATTCAAAACTATGATCAAACTGTATATAGTAACTCACAATTTCGGCGTCCGAAGGTCCAAAAATTTCTCTTTGACATCCAACTTGATATCGTCAGATTTTGTTCCTGGAAGTTTTATTCTGGCCTGTAAATAGAGCAGAATCAGACAAGATAGACCTGCCTATTGTAGATGATATTAAATACTACTCCAGAAAAGAAATATAAATAAGTTTTTCCTTTCACTTTTGAACATACCGATGCGCTGTCAACCTTCAGGAAGGCGCCTGCGGACACAAAAAGGCTGCCTGGGGAAATCCAGAGATGAATACGATGGACAGCGTTGACCGTATTCGAACTCAGGACCTCCGAGTCTCTATCATGGTGACTCTGACTATTCGACCGTTGCCCCATAAACGTGTTGGAGGTTCAATTTCAATAATTACACTACTAATTAACCAAATGAAGATTTTATAACACTAATAACTATCCTTAGAGATTTTATAAGCTGCCTTCGGGCTTGCCCTCTCTCTTCGTTTTCATGGATTTGATCTTCGTGCGATGATAGCAGCCGAGGCAGGGAACGGGTGGAAAGAGGTGAAGGGTGGGGAAAATAATGCTTTGTATGAAAACCCTGACCAAGAGACTTGCTCCCATCGGTGACGTTAGGCTCCCCGGGTAGAACAAGGTAACCGGTGGTTGGAGACAATGAGTGATATGACTGGGGGTCGCAAATGTGGCACTCGTTCATCTACTCATTAATCCTGCAACCCCAGTCTGTATGAAGTTTCTATCCGCACTTTGATTCTGCTCTCAAAAATTCAGTCTTCATTTTGCTCTTTTGTCCAAATGGGCAACCAAAAGGCGGTAACCAAAACCGGCGCATGAAAGTGCATGGTTATTGGTTGTGAAAACCGAAACTGTAAACTGTGGATATAAAATGATTATTTTATTTTCGAGTGATGCATAGCAATATCGGAATCCTAAGCTATGCAGTGAACGGATAATAAAACTCAAAAAATGTGCCGTACGCGACTACTTCGGAACACCTTATTGAACCTGGGTGATGAAATCATTGATGGTCACGGTATGATACCAAGATGAGTGATTTGCTTTCATTTTCCTGTTCCACGCTGCATTTCCTAACCAAGCCATTCGTCCGACTTGCGATGAAACTTGTAAGTAATGGCGGATGAAGTACACTGAACTACTGTTTCGTCCCCTTTGGGACCATTGAAAAGTGTATTTTAACCATGCTTTAACTGGAGTCGTAGGTTACTATCTAAAACATGCAAGGACTCCTTAGTATGAGTAAAAATTGCGCAATCATCTTGTTTTATATATTTTTATATTTGTCACACCCATCCGAATCCAGACTGATGCCAGTTTTTTTGAAACTATTCCAATTTGGTGATTCAACGCACAATGTGAGACTGCAGTATTTTACTCGAAAAAGAATTTGCTGATTATGGCCGTCCGTTCAATCTTCACTTGTGGCTGCATGAAACGGNGGCGATAGCATCGCCATTTGAATGTGGCTGCATTAAACCGGATGCGGGAGTCCAGCACTTAGTATTCAAGAACACTGTATTGCATCATGTCCACTTGTAGATTACCACCTTCATCTTTCGCAAACCTTAAAAATGGGTTAAAACCCCGTTAAGCGTAATCCTGTATCATGTAAATTGAGTCAGTGCATCCAATCCTTGGTAAGCGTGTAAAGTAACCTTCTAGAGTTACCCTGAGTGACATTCACATTATCAAACCAAATTGTCGGTTGTGGATAATTTTTATCCCTCATTACGAAAGCGGCTTCACAGTTCAGTCATCTTACAACCGTTCTTCCACATCATAAGTCTTAAAACTCACATTAGGCTGGCAGAAAGAAAGGTAAGAGATANACACTCACATTATAGATTGTCTATGTAATTCATGCAGTAAAACCAACTTTCTGAATTTTTTATTGCTCGCTCAAGTGCGATAAACAGCAGATGGGGTGAACCTCATAGTCACGATGACCTGCTGTTTTTACTGATGGAAACCGGAAACCTAAGCCCCGGGACTTTGAGTGGTNGAGTGGTGAACCACATAAGGCCCCGACATCTTAGACGTGGTAGTGAACCGAACGACAAAAGTGCTGCCTACCACCAAAGTCGGGTGGCGGTGGCGGGGCTCGAACGTCCAAAGCACACCGGTGACAGCGACCACTGCGCCACCACCACCCGAGTCTGGCTCATACTTAATGCGCAGCCTGGAGAAGGAATTTATGAATACCACTCGCTTGCTTCAATACCCAACCTCGATTATTGGAGATGTTTGACGGACGTACCCTAAGTACCTAAGTCCTTATGTCATCAATGCTGATCCAAGTGTAGTAGAAAATAGGTTGAATTAGCTTTTACGTGTAAAATATGAATGTGAAAAGCATTTATCCAGTTTAACATAGTCTTCAGTAGAAACTGTGCAATGGGGGGTTTGTTTTTAATTTATATACACCGCACGCGGAAACTTCAGTCAGTTGGTCGTCCGTTAGTCTACCGACTCTCGCGTAGGTCAACAACACTCTGGAATTCCCTTCCAGCGATTGTGGTGGAAGAGAGGACAAACGTTGCTTTCAAACGGCGTCTGGATGAGCACCTGAAGGGGCTATGGAGGAACGAACACTTGTGATCGGACCTTCGACCCAGTGGTGATGGGGCTTACACGAGCACCCTGCCCTCTGCCCTCAATCCTGAAGACTGAAGCCCCATTTAAGTTTACTTCCCCGTGCATTCCAATTATTCTCTACTCTACCAAAATCATCTAGCTCCGTCTAACCTGGTGCATACTATATACAAAGAAACAGTTTATACGTTTCAAGTACCGAAATTCCAACACAGTTCGCCATTTCTCCTACACGGTTGGCACGAAAAGCTAAGGTTGCTGTCATTATTGTTCGACCAATACCAATAATACCGATAAACCCGATAGCTTGTTTCACCATAACGCAGATAAAGGAATTTTCAATACAAATGGAGAAAAAGTAAATTAATTTTGAATAATTCAAGATGCGGTTCATTAACTTTTTTATGCTTTATTTACACCAAATACTAACCCGTAACATCACCTGACCAACAGTTTAAGTATGCGAACGATGTAGTCAAAATTCAAACTATTTCCAAAACCATCGAGTTTGCTTCTCATTTTGGTACGTTTTACTCAATATGTGGAGCTTTTACCCAGATTCTGGTGTTAGTCTTATCTCAACCATATGCGGTGAGTGCATTTCCGTTTAGTAAAGTATTTTAATTTTGACAATGCAATGATCAATTTTGACGCATTGACCAGGCTGAACTCTTAAGTCCCTCAGAGTCATTAATGGTTTCCTCAAAGTTTACCTTGAATTGAAAACTTGCGTTGACCACCCGTAACTATCTAAAATTTATTAGAATTGAAGATTTCAAGTTTCACAATGAAAATTTTCATCCCTATTCCATTTTCATATTGCTATTTTTTACGGCCTCTTAAAAAGATTTCAGTACGTGAAGATGCGGGCCACTAATATTCAGTTGCACAGCTTTAATTTCCTTTGTAGGATTACCAAATGTGTTTTGATTTAACATTAGTATATACAAAACATTTACACAAAACCTACTTTCCAAACTCACATAAAAGCTACATAGAGGGTTATTTTTCTTTCACTCCCACCCGTTCGCAACATCACAATTTCATCATATACTGGAACATATAAATGCGTACACATGTTTGGCGGTTTTTTAATTTGAACAACAGACAGCTCATTTTGTCACTTAAATCTGAAACATTTTGAGTCCAAAAGTGAAATATTATTAATTTTATGTTTTTCATCAGTCTTCGATGTTAAGGAATGCAACAAGCAGGTATCCGTAGTAGACCGCCGTTTACAATAAACGAATTGGAAAAATAAAGCCAGAAGGATAGCAATACATGATCTGTACTTTGGACGGTTTCGTTGCCTGCTGAAGACAAATACAATCGAAATAGGTTCGGGGGGGGGGGTTAAAAATAGTATAAATGTTAACCTGAGAGAAAACCGAGGTGATCATTTTGCTGACACAAAATGGGTTTTCTCTAATTGATTTTAATCGCCTAGGCATTAAGGATGTATCATGGCATCATGTTAATGTAGATCACTCGAACTGATTTCTTTTGGGTGACGAGTTGATGTGTCATCAACAACTGCTTGGTAATCCAGGAGCTCGGCCCCAGTCAGCAATCGGCTGTTTTGACCTCAAAATGGTGGCATCCTGTTAAACCAAGTTTCCAACGTGTTCAAAAGCCAATTGCTTATCTGTTCCACCAGTATCCGCACTTAAATGAGTGTGCTGCGTTTGATTTGTCCCACAGGAACTAGCGCACTTTTTTGGGTGGTGTGGTCTGGTGTGGTGTGGGTATGTGTCGCGTTCTATGTATAATTCTGGGCTCGGCTGCCTAATGAGTGCGGTTACAAATCGATTACAAGCGTTGTTGTAATAAGCGAACTGATTGAAGTCTGTTTTATCAATTTAAGAGTCCATCGACTACCTTCCCGTGCTCTCTTTCACGTGGTCGGCAAGGCTGGATGAAGCGCCGCGGTGGTCAGACCATGACATGACTTAGAGTTATAAAGAAGCTGGTTTCAGCTTTGGTTTCGGTTGGTACAGCTCGCCTTCCAGGTTTGGGGCCCAAGAGATGAGGATTGTCGTTGGTTAGAGACGCTGAGTGATACGGCTGAGTGTCGTAAACAGTGGGTCAAATAACAAAAGGGGAATAAAGTTCTGGCCCAAAGCATGGTTTCATTCATGCGGGTCACAATTTCGATGTTTGTTGCCCTACTCAATAGTCTAACCGTTATTTTACTTCAAAATTTCAGCACATTTTAGAGAGAACCGCTCTGAAGAAATATCCGTTCAGTATTATTCATCTGGTTTGACACTATTAATGGTGTCCCTCTGACACCATGGTAATTCGAAAGCTGGTGTATATGCATAATCTGCGCGGTGAGTAAAATTTGGCTTACCACAAGAAATTCACAACTGGCAGTAGTTGGATTTTTGAGGCCCATTTGAAGATAGATATCCTCGGCCGTGACAGACTGTTTGTAAAATAGATCGTACCTGGTGAGAAATGAAAAACACGAAATGAAGACCAACAGACAGGTCAACAGCGCATTGTGTGCCGAATAAATTAGGTAAGAATAATTTATTTTACTTATGATTGATGGAATTCATAAAATGATTTTTATGCTTTTTATCTGTATCAACCAGTTTGATAGGACCATTAATAAGATGTCATCCATTCTTCCTTAGTTATTGAATTGTAAATGCAGGATAGATATGGTAAAACCTACTACTTTTAATCACTTCTAGACAATGCGTTTGGTGCATGTCATCCATCTGTGTCAAAGGAGATGAATTTGCCGAGAATTAATGGATTTCAACATAGCCAATTGTAACTGCATCATGGGAGACCAAATTATTTCATGCGATTGAAATGCGAATAATAGAACAAATATTATTGCCGTTTTCGTTCAACTTCGGGGTGCATTTTAGCCATTTGTGGTGTCGGACGTTGATTTGCAAGCACATATTTGATTCTCACAGTTCACAGTGCATTAGTGCAATGAAATACACCAAAATGATACAATCATTACCGACGTTTATAAACATCGAAATGGCTTTTTACCATTCGCTCCTCACGCTGGACTACCACAATTACATTTGTATCTCAAACAGATGAGCTATTTTTGTGATAAAAATCCAAGTATGAACCATTTTCTCACTCTGGTGATTTATGATAAATCACGTAAACATTTTATTGGACTAGGTTGCTTTTAGATGTTTTACATTTGCTGTGCTTCATGTCACAACGCAGACCGGGAATACTCATTTAGGCCTAACTTCCGTTTATCAAGACTGATATTCCTTTCTTGACTACGTGACATGGAAGGAGCTATTTATGAGGTTTGCTTTATTCTTATTGACAGTTTGTAAGCTGGTTTCTCTAAACAGCTGGACTTTAGCCCGAGACAAGAGAATTCATCAACATCATCATAATCTTCAACATCAACAACAATAACATTAAAAAGTGAAATGTGTTCCTTAAAGTCGAGTTAACAACTTTCGCAATGAGTTTTTAAATTAAATGGGGACTGATCTAACTTGGTGCAAGAAGAAATGAAGGATGTGCTAAATAAAATGAATATTGGTTTGTTGCCCTGTTACCCAGCATCCTGTTTCCACTAAATGAAGAAATAGGAAATCCATACTTTTTCTTACATTTCCGATAAATGTGCACACTTAATTTACACTTAGAACTAGATGATGATCTCACGGTCTCCATCGCCTCCGAGCAAATGCTGCTGATAGGGTGCTGTGTGGTAGACAATTTTAGGGCTTGCTTCCTATAGTGCTCATGTCAAGTGAACCAAGCAACGACAGTTAAGCTCCTTCAATTGATGGATTCCTTCCACAAACGTTTTTGGTCTCTCATAATGCCATGTATAACCGAAATGACCTAACTGCGATCAAGTATTCGTCGTGTTCTCCAATCAGCCACAGTCATTTGTCACACCAGTGATCAGACAACAGAGCCGTTTAACCACATTGAACACTTGATCACCATATACCAATCCAGTGGCAGTCAAAATTATGCAGTTCGACATTGGTTTGCACTTTTAACGAGCAAAGCGCATACTGAACACAACACCAGAATTTATAATCACTTAAGCTATACACTGCACTGAAAGAGGGATTTCTGAATTTCCTCAGTACTAATTTCCACTTTTGTGAAAACCTGTATGGAGAGAATGACAAACATAGACGGCTCTAGTTTAACTTACTCCGGTTGCGGTCGTGGATCATGTATATCCTCAAATTGAGTCCCTTCTGGAATTTCATCAATATCCCAAATATCATCTGGATTATTCTTTTTCACAGGCGCATCTCCCTTCACGCTTGCTGAGATCAGAAAGTGGCGGAAGTTGTATTGATGCAAATTCAATATATATCGAGCAAATGCAGCAATAATTAAAAAAATAAAAAGGTTTACTTTGGTTCAAAGGGGAAAACCGAGGAACAAATCTGAGAAAAAATACAAGAAAAGCAATGTTTTTTTCATCATACGCTTTGGATTGCTTTTTACCTTGGTTAGTTTTTGTCTTGGCTTTCGGTCCAATGTCACTTGGTTTCATTCTGGCGACGGATGAAGGATGCTGAGGGCGAAACAGGATTTGAAAACAAAATTTTATTTGACCAAATTGAGGGGACTGAAAAGAACATAGGCGATTTTAAGTTGCATTTGTATTGCTTATGATCGTAGATGTAGTCTGCTCCGATTTGAAGCCATCTGGTTGCATAATTTCTATGAATGCAAATACTGTGCAGTGAAACGACAGTCACCCGGCTCCTTCGAAATCGATTAATGGAAGACGAGTGAACCATAACAAACATCTGATTAACGAACAAATGGACAATGCTCTTGCTTTCTCCTTGTTGCGTTCTCAGATTCTATCTCTAAATGGGTCAAGAATGTGCTTTGCACCGATGATCCTTCCGGCAAAAAAATTTCATTAGTTTATCCTGAAATATCCAAGGTACATTTTTCTGAAAATTGCTACCACTCTCATGAACTACGATATCCCTAAGAGGCGTTACACAAAAGCTATGATCTGAAAACCTATGTAACTTACTAACTTGTAAAAAATGACCAGAATCAGTTTGTTTCCACATAAATTGTCCGATGGTTGTTCAAAAATAGATTCTCTTTTAGTGGGTTGAAAAAGCTCTGCGTGATTCTTCTCACAGGGGCTAATTAATTTCGGTTTCATCTCTGTTTGTGTTAAACTTCCTTCAACGGTTTTTTGTCAAACGCTTAGTACTAAGGTCTTTGGAAATCAAGAGGAGTTAACATTAACTACGGATATAAAAATACTTCCGATATTCGAAACACTGGGTCCGTTTTATCTATCGTATCAAGTTTGGAAGAAGATACACGGCGGGAAATGATAACATTTCGTTCAGTCCCTTCAATCGCTGACGTAAACCAAACAGTGAAATCAGTAGTTGATACTAGAGCTTTGGTTAGTGAAGTTTTGCTTTCCCAGCACACTAAATGTTACTGTATGTCGCCAGCAAACATACATCATGAATGTGACAAAAAACAATTTTTACTGACGTTTGTACTGATCTCTTGTAGTTTACACTAGCAATTTACGCGGAAAACAGTTCAGATATTATTCACAATATCATGTTTAGAATAGCCCATTTGATTTTTCACAGGTAATAGGCGCTGTTGATGGCCTTTGGTGTGATTTGTACTCTTGATGACTGTGAGCTGTCGAAGGACCTAATTCCACTATGATATTCGAAATTGACTAGGCTGTCCACGCAGATTGTTGATCGTCGCCAGTGCAGCTCTGTGGTAAAAGCTTTGTCTCTCTAATTGAACGCTTTTGGTTTGAGTCTCGGTAGAGATAGAAGAACTACCCACTGCTAACTAATCCCCCAAGCAGTAAGAAGCGGATTTCCAGTGCTCTTTGTATGTCATCGCAGAGATGTTCATTGCATATTAGGTGTTAATTCACAACACTAGACTGGATTTCAGGACGTGCTACGCACTGCCTTGGAATAACAAAATGATGATTTTAAATGAAATCACTGTCCGATTCTATAGATATATCTACCGTGCCCCAGACGAGATTTTATTATTCGGCAAATTTACATGTTAAGCAAAGAATTTAGTCCAAGAATGTTGAAATCTTATCCAGGAACAAATCTTTTTTCACTCAAAATTTTTCCAAAAAGAACGACTTGAGCCAAATATCTAAACTAAGTTTTACTTTCAATTCTAACTGACATTATCCTACCTTGTCTTCATGATCAGAATCAGGGTCATCATCGTTTGGATCCTTGAGAAGATTTTGTAATGCTCTGATATTTTCATGTGACCAAAGTGGATCCATCTGGTACAAATTCACGCGGAAAAATTGAAAATATCATAATAGTAATAATGATAATGGATAGTATGATTGACAAGGGGTCATAAACTGACCAACTTTCCAAATAAAATGGAGATTATATAGAACACAGCCCGGGTGTTCTTACAGCAGATTCAGATCACGTGAAATTCCTGTATATATATATATATATATATATATATACTCTTTCTGAGGTTACGTTTAAGTTTAATCGACAGCTTTTTTGTGTATGAGTGTTTCGGAACTTAGACACTTTCAACTGGAGGTGAATCTCACTCTAGAGGGACTAGTAAATGAAAGAGTTAGAATAATTTACAACAGACAGCCGATTTGACAGTTATAGTATTTTATTCATAACTGTCTTTTTGAAATGGCATAAAATTAGTTCTCTTCACTTCTGAACGACAGGTAGAATGTGGG